GATATAATCTCCATGATCAGAAGTTCCTCAACCTGAGCGTGCTCAATTTTAGTAAAAATTTTCATCTTTTGCTTGAATAATTTTGCTAGATGGGTCTCCAGAAGCTGGCTTCGGGCCTTTTGGGTATTCGATCGGCTGAGTCTATCATCCCTGAAAGGATTGCTGCGCAAGGATGTCATGCTACCATTGCTGTCTGTGCAATGATGCTTGTGATGAAGGCCTCGGGCAAAAATTTGTTTTACCTCAGCTCCTATTGCTTCCAACTATATAACAAGGCAGACAAAAAGGATAATACATTATCGATGACATGATTATAACGATACAGTAGAACATGATGAAAACATGATGACAGAATTACCTCTTGGAGAAGTAGATCGACAAACATGTGTACATGCCTGGGTTCTTTGTGCTACAGAAAAAGTTTGTGAAAACATAGAAATCTGTAAGCCTTTCCAGAACTGAAGATTTTCACCAAGAAGAAAAATATAAATTCGAAATTTGAACATTACTGACCTTGACCCAATTCAGGGCTGTAAACCTCTTCTTCAAGACAACTGATATGTTTTGAGTTCTCATCTTTATACTGAAAGGAATATTACGATGAAAAATATTAATCTGATCATTTTATGGCAAGAAGGCACTCACAACGTGTCCATACTATACCAAATTTTTTTTGTACTAGAGTTTGAATTGGTATTTAACTCTTGAAACAATGATCACATTTTTTGTCAAGCACCAGTGCCACTTTGCACTGAAATACCATTTTGCAAGAATAGAGATTTGACTGCTTTTCAGATGGCAGCCTAAAGTGCAAATGCAGATCAAACTTTAGTTTAATATGCCTATAGAAGTCCCTGCTCTTCAAAATCAGCAGTGAAGTCATAGTGTCCCTTTGAAAAGGCCTGAAGAAATAACAGAGGACAAGAAGTTTTGAAATGATAGGGAGAGTGGTTAAATGAAAGAATCCCAGGATGAAGATCATGAAATGAAGAGACAGTGGAGACTGAATCCATACACACATTAATATACCAATTTTGGTAAAAACAACGCTGAAATCAAGATAGATAGGCACAAGAAGTAATTTATAGTTCATTTTAGTAAAAGCATGAACAAGGAGAACTTGCAAGGCATAATCAGGTAGATCGGCCTCTGGTAACACTTCACTTATCAAGAGCACATCACCCCAAATTACCCCTGGAAAGATGTCTTGAAAATTACATTCAAGTAAAAGATGGAAACATGAAATGTATGATCATGCAGTATTGGTCTCTACTCTCTATTATAAATATCATACTTCGAAGAAACAATTTTGACAGACAAACTTTCAGGAAGACCCCTGCAGAGTAATACACAAGTATCATATTTGTGCCTTTTGTGGCCATAAAAGCAGACAATTATCCTCCTTTTTCTCTTAATTTATGGATAATTGTAAGATATATTGCTATCTCTATTACTTCAGGTTTGTTTATTGGAAATTTCATTCAGCACTGACAAGGCAAAGGCAAAAAAGCCATGCAACAAATGATAATGCATAATCATTTCTCTTTAAATTTAGTAACGAAATGCTACTAATTGGTAGTCATATTTTGGCATAGCATATCCATTATACAAATCAAAAAAATTTCTCGCAACATAATTTAAAGCTGGATTAATTTTAAAAGCGAACGAGAAATCCGCACTAAAAGATGAAAAGGAAATGAGGTGCAGTACGTTAAGATTCATGTACGTTAGATGAAGGATCTGCAGAGTAGAAGCTCGATAGCAGATCTCTCATTCTCTTCGCCTAGTCGTCAATCCGCACTCCTTCTAACTCCATTTTCACCCCGTTTTCGAGCTGAATCTACAATTTCTAAATATATATGAAGTTGTTTCGTGGAGAACTATGTGTAGGATGAAACGGCTCAGAAAGCCGCCAGCGAGCTCGAGCGCGGGCTTGATCGATCAGAGTTGGTGGTGGTAGGAAAATTGTCGAGTAATTCGACGTCGTTTCTACTGGTGGTGCTCGATGCTGTGTACATCTATGAATGTGCTAGTTTTCCAGTCAATTCAGGCCTTGTTTGAGTCCATTTTCGGTATCGATTCTAAAGGGGAAAAAGATATACTTACAGAACTATTCACTTACAGAATAGTTACAGAAATAAAAATTTCCAAAAATACCCTTCATACATAAATTGCAACTAGGAGCCACTACAATAATATAAAAACTCCAAATTAGTCCCTAAAAATTTATGAGTGTAAAATTTATTCCGATGC